ATTTTCAGTATTTTTCAGTACCACATTTGGGTACTGTTTCTTCCAAATTAAAAAAATGTTTGTCTGGACAAGGTAGTGTCAAGTTGGCCTTTAAAAATCATTTAACGGTTAATAATCTTTTCACTAAATTAAAAGATAAAGATTCGCTATTGCAGCGGTCCAGTGTAGTTTATTGCATCCCATGTATGGATTGTGATTTGAAATATATAGGTCAAACAAAACAAAAACTAAAAGATAGAGTTACGGCACATAAAAGTGACATACGACTGAATAAACACAGTTGCATGTTGGCAAATCATTGTTTATCTTCAGGTCACAGTATGAATTATGACGAAATTTTAGTATTAGATTCAGAAAACAACCACAAAAAAAGAAAATTTTTAGAGATGTGTCATATTGCAAGGGAAGTTAATCCAATGAATGCAATGACTGATATCGATGGTCTCAGCGTAATTTATACTTTTTTATTAAATCAATATTTTAATAACAGGGACAATCTTTTAGGTGACACCTTGTATAGCGGTATGTAACTTTTGTTTGTTATTTTTGTTCCATAATCTAACTAATTAATTGTTTAAAAATTTTTGGTAGAGTTTCCCCGTTCTCCGCATAAGTATTAAGGGAACAAAAACTTTAATATTTTTTCACTTTTTTCCTCCTTATCTGATATTCGTACCTAAAAGACAGGCGACTTGTTCATTTTGTTTGATTTCGGCTCTAGTCTGCATTAGTAATGAATTTTAAAAATTTTTGATTTGTACAATTTTCTGTTTTTAACCTGTGATGTTTTTAATTATTTGTATTAACGACCTATGTCCGCGGTAGGTGTACCATGTTGGCTAACTTCTATGTAATTCTCGCATAGTAAGTAATTTTTTTAATTGACTAATTTTAAGAAAACTTCAACTTGTATTTTATTGTAGTTTTTTCCTGATGAAGAAACAAAATTATAGTTTCGAAAGCTTGAAAATTTAAAAGAGTAACTTTTTTTATCCTTGGCTGCATCCCCGTCTAAGAAAGAAATTTGGTTTTTAACTTAGACAGCCGTCTAATTTTTGGCTTTATATATATTATGTTATAATTTTGAATATTTTTTATTTTTGCCCAGGCGCCAATAAGATCTGGTCTTATAATGTTGAGATCTAGCTCTCTCTCTCAGGGTGTGCTTTACTTTGTTATTATTTTAATATTTGTATGAAATGAAAATTACTTGTTTCAAACATAAATTAACAAATATACATATGAAATTTATGTCAGCTAACAAAATTTTATAATCTTATATCTACTTTATTCTACTTTATGTTAGAGATGAAAATTTTATAGTCGACTTTTGTTACGTTTAAATGAAATTACGAATTCGTACGATTAATATTTAAGTTTGTTGAAATTTTTAAATTGGCCTATTTAGTATTGCTGTAACTCACATTTGCGCATGGATGTAACGTTGGTCCTATATCCGTCTTCTAGATGTGATGACCTCGGTCTGGGTTGTTGTTGTTTATGGTTGATCTGGATACACAAATTTTATACCACGTACTTATACTTCCAATGGTAGATTGTCGGTGCACATTCTCGTAGCACTTCACTATTATTCGTTGGAAATTTATTCCATACACTTTTGAATAAAACACTACTTAATTCCCATTACATAAACTTCAGTGAACGTTTGTACAGTTGGGAAAATTATGACTGATGGAAATGTTTACACTTTTGACAGTTGTCAAACTATCAGTGACTGACTTGAGATCTGGTAATTACTTAAACAATTATTTATAATTTGACTATCTTTTGTTTTTTTTTTCAGGAAAACTGAACGATGTTAACTGTTCGACGTATTATGGAAGACTGGCTACCTAGAAGCCCTGTAACAATTTTTATAAATGAATAACAAAAGAGTTTGTTGTTATGGAAAAATCAATTTGAGATTATATGCAATTTTTACTATGAAATTGTGCCTTTATGTATGTCTTTTGTATCACGACACTGATATATTTGAATTCTACACATATTTCTGAAAATTTACATACCCAAATCTTTTTATTACGTTCACTTTTGAGGTTATTATAAAATTTTGCTAATTTATCGAAATTTGTGCAAATTACGTTCTTGGACCTAATTCTATGCCACTAGTCTTGTTTCTAAACACTTATCTTACGTTAATTTAACTATTTTACACAGTTTTATGATACACAAATTGATTAATAATGAAAATATTTCAGATACATCGTTCCTTGACATCTAGTACTGTTTTTACACTATTTGGAATGTACATTAGGATGCAAATACAGTCTTGGATAAACAGAAAGTCTTTTTAACACAATACAAGTCATTTTACACATGAGGAGTATCATTTATATAATAAATTTTAAATAATGTCAAGTCATGGGTTTGACATTTCGAAAATCGCTATCAGAGTTATGTACAGAACTTTAATTTTGATTCCACTCATAAATATAGATTAAAGGTATGCTGAATTTTAATTATAGTCTTAGTTAATTACAAGGTTTTTATTTATAAGTGCAACGATAAATTGTTCTCCGATAAATCTATCTGTCAAAATCTTGATTGTTTCCTTAAACCAGTGCTTCTATATGGTGAATATCTTTACAAAATTATACTAGGTGATACATTTTAATTTTCTAGTATGTATTCTTGCATTTATTAAACTATTTAATTGAAAATTTTACATTATTAACTTTATTTTGACATATGGATTTTATCATGTAGCGATTTTGCATTTTTATGTATAAAACTCATTCTATATGCTAAATTATATTTTCATTTTACAAATATTTATTGCAACACATCCCTGTTGTTAGAGTTCTATATTTCGATGTTATAATTTAAAAAATTTTACTACATTGAGTACTTGGTTATCGTTACTGGCCCAGATATCATAACAATATATATATTACAGATTATGGACGATAGAAAGAGATCCGCAAACTTTTCTGTTAAAGAAGAATCCATTTTAATCTCCTTAGTGAAAAAATATAAAGAAATTGTGGAGTCTCAGATTCGAATGCGAACCTTAAAAAAGTGGAGACTTGGAGAAAAATTGAAAATGAATTCAATAGTATTGCTGGAGAGAATTATCGTTCTCATAAGGTCCTAAAGAAGAAATATGATAATATTAAAAAGAGGCAAAAAAGAAGTTTGCTAATGAGAAATTGTACATGCGAGGCACTGGTGGTGGCTCACATCAAGAGATTAAATTTAGTGAGCTTGATGAAAAGATTAATGAACTACTTGGAGCAAGAATTGAAGGAGATGTTTCAGAGTTTGATGGAGATGCAAGTAAGTTTATGCAAACATGAGTTTATATATTAAATTTACAAATATATTATTCAAGCAACACTGGTAGAAGAATCTGATAGAGAGGATAAGACAAGTCAATTCAGTTGTATATCATTTTCAAGAGTACAATACATCCGTTTATGACTTTGTGGTTGAAGAAGTCGCATCAGATTTTTTAAAGGACCATGGTAAAAAGTTTTCCATACTACGATAATGACATGTGGAAGTTATTTTCTTTACAGATTATTACAGCTCAAGTCAACCACAAGTAGATAGAGAAATTTCATCGCAGACAGAGGAAGTAAATACATCTTCTCCAATTGAAAATAATACAGCAGTTTGTATAGGTAAATTACTTTCTCAGTTTTTAATATACACTTACTGTACATATTCATTACTTTTATAGTATCTCAAGCTTCCAAACAGTCAGGAAATTGGTCAAAATATAATCCTGCTATGCTGAAGGCAAAAAAGTCTAAAGCGTTAGATCAAAGATGTAAGAATTTATACTTTAACTTCCAAGTTCATTATTTTTTAACCCATGACCATTTAATTACAGACATAAAAAGTAGGAAGAATATATTCTCTTCTGAAGCTGCAATAAGTAATAGGGTATCACAATGGGCAGAAGCTAAATCTGCTTTGGAAGCAGCAAAAACTCGTTTTCTAGAAGAAGAACAAGGCTTGAAACTAAAATTTATGAAGTAAAAACATGAATTGGAATTGCTAAACATGAAGAGAAAAGCTGATGAAGAAATTGAATTGATGAAAGAATACCATCAAGCAAAAATGGAAATTTTAGAAATACAAAAAATGATGATACAAAAGACTAAAAGTCAGTAGTTGGATAGAGGAGTAAAGAAACATGAAAAAATTAACAATAAATAATTTATTTTAAAAATATTTATTTTATTTCAACATCATGAACAGTAACAAAAAACTTACATTTACAATCAAGATTCATATAGTGTTATTCAATACAGAGGGTGAGTTGGGAATAACGGACCAAACTCCAGGAGAACTCCAGTTATCGCACACAATAAAATTTTGTAATAAACTCATGTTCTTATCTGATTTTCATTTGTTTGGATGTCTGGAGTTTGGTCCATTTCTCCTGACTCACCCTGTATACAATACATTTTTTTTCATAAAAGTCCATCAAAGTAGTTCATCAACTCTAATCTCACTGGATTATTGTCAACTTGCATATGATGTCCAATATTCTCTACAAGCACCCCATTAAAAAAGTTTATAGCATTTTGTTGTTGATCATCAACTGGTGGTAGTTCTTCATGTCTCAAACATGCTATATGCTACAACGATTGCTTCAACTTTTTGTATGTTAACTCGAATCCCCAGTGATAGAATGAGAAATCGTCTTTTCCAAATACCAAAACACCTTTCAACTGGATTTCTGGTTCTGATTTGGGCTTCATTGAACAGATGTTGTGCAGAATTGATGGGATTGGCAAATGGTGTAATTAAAAATGGTCTAACACCATATCCACTATCTCCAACAAGTAAATAATTTCTATACAAACCATTCTCAAAGTCTCGCCGGACCGTACAATTAATCCAGATTGTACTATCATGAACAGTACCAGCCCATTTGCAAACAATATTTTGTATTTTTAAATTTGCATCACAAATGACTTGGATATTTTTAGAAAAGAATCCTTTGCGATTTCTATATATTTCTGGTTCTGGTCCACCTGGGGATTGTATCTTAATGTGCGTACAATCCAATGCTCCAATACATCTCGGAAATCGGCTGATCAAACTGAATTCCTTGCTTGTTGTTCGCATTTGTGCCTCTGTAATTGGCATTGTAATGAAATTTTCATTCAAGCCAGCAATTGCACGACTTACTTTGTGGATAATTGTACAAGTTGTCGCTTTGTTAATTCCCAAAAAGTCACCACATTCTTGGAGGAAGGAACCTGTTGCATAGAAACGCAATGTGACAAGAAGCATTTCTTCTGCTGAAATAGCATAATTCCTGAAACAAATTCAATTTGGTTATTTATAATAATTTTGGAGACTTTTAAAATTTATTTGAATTAGCTTAATATTTTTAAAACAAAATAAATATTGCAATTTCTGTAAGAAAAATGTTCAGAATATTTAATATCTTAAATATATAATATAATATACTTCATTAATTATTATCATCTAATAGTTTTCTTACCTTTCTGTAGGCGACGAGATTAGTTCTCGGATATTTTCCAAAATAAACCGTACGGTATTCTTAGATAAACGAAATCTTGTAAGAAATTCCATATCATTCCATTTTCCAAATTGATTTTCTCGATTTTGAAATTGTCGTGGGGCCCGAGGATGGTCAATTATGTTTATCAACTCAATGATGTCTTCGTCATCAGTTAAAATTCCATTTAATTGATCTATGTCTGATGTTCTTCCTATATTGTTTTACTGTTGTTTACAACACACATTTATAACCTAAAATCTGGATTTGAACCAAGCTTAAACCGTAAAAATTGGAAGCTCAGCTGAAGTAACTTGGTGAGCCGAGCTTAATCTTGAACCTCAATTGTAAAACGCTAATAATGCTAGTTCAGGAGCTCAACGCGGGTTCAGCGTTAAGGTTAGCTTATAGTTCGGGAGACAGCGACAGAAATTTTGCATCAATTCCTACAAAGCTCATTTTTTCTCATTTTGTTGTTTTCATATCGCAAGTAAACGGAACGGCAGTCTACCGCGCCAATGTGGGGGCAAACATTAGTAACAATGTTTGAAACATGTAAATAAATAATACGTAAATGTCTTATACCTACAGGTGTGAAACTTTGTAAAGTGATTAATTATACCTAAAAATACAGTATAATGATAGTCTACCGCGTCGGAAGCGGGGCCATCAAGGGTCTACCACTCACGGAAGGTGTTGAAAAATTAACTTTTTTGACTTATTTCTACAAGGCTAAATTTTTTTCTCAAATACTTTAGTTTATAAGAGAACCAAAGAAAACAGTCTACCGATCATCTAAGGGCGTAAAGCCTTGATAGACGGAATGGAATGCACGATCTCCCGAGGGCAGTCGCTGCGCCAATCCGCTGTAAATCGCTCTGAATAATTATTAATTAGTCATGTCGGTATTAAATTAAAATCTACAAAGTTGTTTTTTTTGTCTATGAGTAGGTAGTTTACGATAATTGTCGTCAAATAAACGTTTTCTACCTTCGATACAAATTGGCTAAAGTTTCGGTAGACGTGGCTAAAATTTTTGCGCGAGGTTGTTTAAAATTCCTAATTTAAATAATTATAATTTTTTGATCTTGCACCATTATTAAAACGTACGATATTAGTAATAACGAACGAGCGTCACACACACACACACACACACACAATATGGGTCGGCGAGCCGCCAGAATGGGAGGAAGTACTCTAAACGTCCCCATTCCATCAGATGATAACAAAGACCTATGTGAAAGCCTCCCCTGAGATTATCGACGAAAGACGAAGAAACGAAATGGCTTGACTTCAGAATCTCTCATTAGACGTCGGGGTCAATATTAACTCCGTTAAGTTTCAGGTGTGGTATACACCTCAACCAAACAGCCAGACCAGGAAGAAGTTTATACTGTCACGGGACGCAAGAAAAATCCAACATTGCGCCCCGTGATTTCCTGCCAGGGGCCTTTTTGAACAGCAGGCTGCGGCGCACTCGACGTCCAGTGCGCGGTCCGACCGCTATTCATTAAATAATCGCCGTGTGACCTTTGACCTCCCCTGAACCGAATTTGGACGCCGTCTCCGACGGCTACGGGTCCGTCAAGGTTGCCGCGACTAACCCTGGCATGACTACCGACTCCCTCTCTTAAGTGCTGATTACCGACGCCGATTACGTTGTTGTAGTCTTCCATGATGGAAGCTGTCATAATATGCCGCACCTTTCTACCTTCGAATTCTTTTAAAAATCTACCTTTGAAACCAACGTACTCGTTGGCCGAATTCTTTTAAAAAATGGGGGATTTACATCGAGGTGTAGTTCCTAGTTGGAGTTGTACCTAGATACAGTTCCTTCGGGGTCGGGCCTATGGCCTCTTTTCTGACTTGGGGTTTGGGGATTGTTCTTTCCTCAGGAGGTCCGATTCTTTTCCTCCCAATATTTTTTTAGCCTGTTTGTTTTATTTTTACTTTCTTACTTTTTTTACTTATGAAACTTTCTTTTTTCCTATCATTCAATTCCCAATTGAATTAATTATTTGAATTCTTTTTACAATTCTTTTTTCTTTAATTCCGGTCCCAGACCGGTTTATCTTTTTTCCAGGAATTTACTTGTGGAATAAATAACAACGCAAATTTAAAACCTTAGATACACCAGGAAGTGTTAAGCCGAACACCTCTTGGAGGAGCTACCGCACGTTGCTGCTAAGTCCTGATTCCGTCAGCGTCTCGCGTGCGAATGAGCTGCTGGGGTAGCGCGACCTGCGCTTTTTTATGTTTTCGGTGCGGTAGAGCTAGGCTCCGCCCACCACACCGAAAAACGCGTCGCCGGTGACAGCCGTTGTCGTATTCTTTGATCTTCGCGTAGTGTTGAATCGACATGGCTCCTCGGTGGAGACATCGGAAGTTCGAATCGAGCCCCACGTTGGGCGTCATGTCGTATTCTTTGATCTTCGCGTAGTGTTGAATCGACATGGGTCCTCGGTGGAGACATCGGAAGTTCGAATCGAGCTCCACGTTGGGCGCCATGTCGAGTTCTTTGATCGTTCGTGCCTAATATTTGAGAATTATGAGGAGAATTGGCAACATGGGCTCGCCGCGAAGACGTCGAAGCAGGACTTCGAGCCCCACGTCGAGCGCCATGTCGTGTAAGATGGTCTGAAGGTTGTGTTTGGTCGGCATGGGTCCTCAATGGAGACATCGGGAGTTCTAATCGAGCTCCACGTTGGAAACCATGTCGTAACCTATGATCTGGGATGTCAGTTCCCTTGACCGGGTTCCGCGGCAAAAACGCACAGAGTTCGCGGGGATCGTCACTATCGACGCCAGGTCGTAGTATATTCTCCGATGGCTGTAGTCGGTGGTGGATATGACCTACAGACGTGGTGTCTAGGACACGAGCTCGCGGGGGAGATCTCGACGAAGAATGTCGAGCCACACGCTGAGCGCCGTGTCGGGTTAGACTTTCTAAATATGGACCACTTAGGCGGTGATCGTATGTTCGGGGGAAATCCTGAGAGTGGACGGGCGACGTACCAGAATTGCTTTGATAAAAAAGGCCGGCTTCGTCACCTACGGCGTAGTCGGCTAAGGGGTTTTCGCTTACCATGGCACCCGAACGCGATGCGCATTGCTCCCGCTGGATATTATTTCGTGAAAAAGCTGAATAAACTGTAACGTCGTCGCCGACGGCTCCACGTTCCGGGACACCCGATATCGGAGATAGGCCGCTATCGGGGCCGGACCGCGAACCGTGGTTGGACTCATGGGATACCCCGGACCCTACCAGTGTGTACGTAGGTTGAACCTCGTCCCGAGTATCTGTGGGTGATCCACTTCGTTGTAACTCATGAGTGCTACTTGGCTCCGTGAGTGCGCCTTGAGGGGTGGTCGAGGTGGTATCATTAACCCGCGTAGCAGCGGACCCAACGCGTACGGCGCTGTGGCTGCGCCGTGCCGCATACTCCCGCGAGCTACCACCTTCGGTCCCTCAGGCTCTTCACGCAGCATCGAGATAACATTGTGGAAGGAGGCCATTTCCTCTTTCAACCCGAATGTCGAGAGATCTTTCGCCGGCAAACAGGTGTGAGGGCAGTCCGTGTAACCGCTGGTCTCTCCGATTGGGGACGAGGCCTCGTCCAGCTCAGTCTTGATCAAAGAATCACGATCTGATTTATTTGTTATACCTTCGAGGGCACCAATCCTCGTAGCACTGAAT